CTGATGGCCTGGAGATAGAAGCTGTTAATCGATCCAGCTTTGATGCACCTGAACTATCTCCGCCCTCTTGATGGTAGCGGGGTGAACAGGCCGTGGCTCGGGTGGTTGAATTCCTTGATGATCTTCTTGGCCTTTGTCCTGGAGGGCAGGCAGTGTGCCCCCGGTGATGCGTTGGGCTGACCACACTACCCTCTGGAGAGCCCTGCGGTTGCGGACGGTGCAGTTCCCGCACCAGGCGGTGATACAGCCCGACAGGATGCTCTCAGTGGTGCATCTGTAGAAGTTTGTGAGGGTCTTAGGGGCCAAGCCAAATTTGTTCAGCCTCCTGAGGTTGAAAGGTGCTGTTTTGCCTTCTTAACCACACTGTCTGTGTGGATGGACCATTTCAGGTTGACAGTGATGTGCACGCTGAGGAACTTAAAGCTTTTCACATTCTCCACTGCGGTCCCGTCGATGTGGATGGGGGCATGCTCCCTCTGCTGTCTCCTGAAATCCACAATCAGCACCTTCGTTTTGTGGACGTTGAGGAAGAGGTTATTTTCCTGGCACCACTCTGCCAGGGCCCTCACCTCCTCTCTGTAGGCTGTCTCATTGTTGATGGTAATCAGGCCTACCACTGTTGTGTCGTCTGTAAACTTGATGATTGAGTTGGAGACATGCGTGGCCACGCAGTCATGGGTGAACAGGGAGTACAGGAGGGGGCTTCACCACCTGGGGTCGGCCAGTCAGGAAGTCTAGGATCCAGTTGCACAGGGCGGGGTTCAGACCCATGGCCCCGAGCTTAGTGATGAGCTTGGAGGGCACTTTGGTGTTGAAGGCTGAGCTGTAGTCGATGAACAGCATTCTTACATAGGTGTTCCTCTTGTCCAGATGAGATAGGGCAGTGTGCGGTGCGATGGCAATTGCGTCATCTGTGGATCTGTTGGGGTGGTATGCAAATTGTAGTGGATCTAGTGTGTCAGGTAAGGTGGAGGTGATTGATCCTTAACAAGCCTCTCAAACCACTTCTTGATGACAGAAGTGAGTGATACAGGGCAATAGTCATTTAGTGGTTACTTTCGCTTTCTTGGGTCCAGGCACAATTGTGGACATCTTGAAGCAGACTGGGATAGGGAGAGACTGAATATGTCTATAAACACTCCAGGCATCTGGTCTGCACATGCTCTGAGGGTTGACACGCTTGCGAGGGTTAACACGCTTAAATGTCTTACTCACTTCGGCCACTGAGAACGAGAGCTCACAGTCCTCATGAGAGGCGGTGGCCCGCGTCGGCAGCACTGTGTTTTCCTCAAAGGGGGCAGAGAAGGTGTTTAGCTTGTTCTTCACTGTCTTCTTGGTAAGCAACTCCATTGTAGATTTGGCCTTGTGTTTTAGGCTATTTTCTTGCTGAAAGGTGAATTAATATCCCACTGTCTGGTGGAAAGCAGACTGAACCAGGTTTTCCTCTAGGATTTTGGCTGTGCTTAGCTTCATTCCGTTTATTTTTTATCCTGAAAAACTCCCCAGTCCTTAACGAATACAAGCATACCCATAACATGATGCAGCCACCACTATGCTTGAATGGTACTTTGCACTGTGTTGTATTGGATTTGCCCCAAACATATCACTTTGTATTCAGGACAAAAAGTGAATTGCTTTGCCACGCTATTTTGTGAGAAGACAGATTTTCGGGATGTCACATGGTCTGACAAACACCGCTCTAGCTCTGTCACTTTTCACCGCAGATGCGGATGTGCGACATCGGCAGATGTGGTGGATTGAGACGCATCTCCAATGCAAAACAAATGATATCGCTAGCTTAAACTGACATATTTGTATGTTTTTTTCTATTATTATGCGAATTATTTTTCAGCAGGGTGTGGACATCGACTCTAGTTTATTTTTATACATTCTAATAACATTTTACTTGTCCAAAATCGTGTGACATAAAACACTTTTCGTTCCTTGTATTAATGGCAGTGTTTACCTATTAATATAATAAGCATTTATTTGTGAAAGTAGACATTGAACTTGAACCCATCAGCTGATTTTTCAAATGGTTGTAATTCATTTTATTCAATGTCTTCACATGAGTGTCCTCACCAGCCAGGGTAAGGCAGAACTTTACAACATTTCAATGTTATAGTCTTGTGAATCTCTCATGCATATTTTTTTATTGAAAATGGGAACAACGGGAGCAATGAGAGGTGAAAATGATTTAAACTCAGCAAAAAAAGAAACTGTCAATTGCGTTTATTTTCAGCAAACAAAACATCTGTAAATATTTGTATGAACATAACAAGATTCAACAACTGAGACATAAACTGAACAAGTTCCACAGACATGTGACTAACATAAATTGAATAATGTGTCCCTAAACAAAGGGGGGGTCAAAATCAAAAGTTAAAGTCAGTATATGATGTGGCCACCAGCTGCATTAAGTACTGCAGTGCATCTCCTCATGGACTGCACCAGATTTGCCAGTTCTTGCTGTGAGATGTTACCCCACTCTTCCACTAAGGCATTTTTGGGGGGAATGGCCCTATCCCTCACCCTCCGATCCAACAGGTCCCAGACGTGCTCAATGGGATTGAGATCCGGGCTCTTCGCTGGCCATGGCAGAACACTGACATTCCTGTCTTGCAGGAAATCATGCACAGAACGAGCAGTATGGCTGGTGGCATTGTCATGCTGGAGGGTCATGTCAGAATGAGCCTGCAGGAAGGGTACCACATGAGGGAGGAGGATGTCTTCCCTGTAACGCACAGCATTAAGATTGCCTGCCATGACAACAAACTCAGTCCGATGATGCTGTAACACACCGCCCCAGACCATGACGGACCCTCCACCTCCAAATCAATCCCGCTCCAGAGTACAGGCCTCGGTGTAACGCTCATTCCTTCGACAAAACCACGACTCGTCAGTGAAGAGCACTTTTTGCCAGTCCTGTCTGGTCCAGCGACAGTGGGTTTGTGCCCATAGACGACGTTGTTGCCGGTGATGTCTGGTGAGGACCTGTCTTACAACAGGCCTACAAGCCCTCAGTCCAGCCTCTCTCAGCCTATTGCGGACAGCCTGAGCACTGATGGAGGGATTGTGCGTTCCTGGTGTAACTCGGTCAGTTGTTGTTGCCATCCTGTACCTGTCCCGCAGGTGTGATGTTCGGATGTACCGATCCTGGGCAGGTGTTGTTACATGTGGTCTGCCACTGCGAGGACAATCAGCTGTCCGTCCTGTCTCCCTGTGACGGACATTGCAATTTATTGCCCTGGCCACATCTGCAGTCCTCATGCCTCCTTGCAGCATGACTAAGGCACGTTCACGCAAATGAGCAGGGACCCTCGGCATCTTTCTTTTGGTGTTTTTCAGTAGAAAGGCCTCTTTAGTGTCCTAAGTTTTCATAACTGTGACCTTAATTGCCTACCGTCTGTAAGCCGTTAGTGTCTTAACGACTGTTCCACAGGTGCATGTTCATTAATTGTTTATGGTTCATTGAACAAGCATGGGAAACAGTGTTTAAACCCTTTACAATGAAGATCTGTGAAGTTATTTGGATTTTTACAAATTATCTTTGAAAGACAGGGTCCTGAAAAAGGGACGTTTCTTTTTTTGCTGAGTTTAAATGTATTTAAGGCCGTATAAAGAACACCTATGCATGATTTAAATGTTATAGTCTTGTGAATCTGTCATGCATATACTGTATGTCAATTTTTTTTTTTGAAAATAGGAACTATGGGACAAATGGACAAATACTGATTTAAATATGAATCTCATTCATATTATCAAGACATGAGATAAGTATCAAAATAGTTTTAAAAAATGCCCTTGCCTTTATAGTTGAACCTTGGATAAATCTTTAGTATAATAGCCTAAACAGTCAACTCAAAATATTGTATTCTGTTCTTTTGAAATAACCAACATTTTCTGCATCATATTGAGACTAAAATATTTTGTGATGTTGTTCTATATTAAATGGACTTATTGACTGTTAAAAAGTAGGGGAAAAGGCAGACATTTTATATGAACATTGGATTTTTGTGGTCCAAATTTCATAATAATTTTTTTGTTTTCCGTTGGCAGGCTTACCCATGTGTCTCCTCACTCGGAAAGCCTGCTCACTGATGTCAATACCAAATCTGATAATTGTGACTTGATTGAATAGGAATGATGTGAATAATGATGGTGATGATGGTGAGAGCCCAGTATAGCCTAACCCTTTAATCATAGGCTGTTACTTTGTGTCTCTAAAATCACAATGTTTTAGTTTCTATAGTCATGTGATTTTTTTTTAACCAGATTGATTTTTCCTGCATGAAATGTTCTATTTTCATAACTCATAAAAATTCGGTATGCAATAGCCTATAGATAATATTCTGGCCATATGTTTTTTTTTTTTTAAGGCCATATAAAGAACAGCTATGCATGATTTAATGAAAAGCAGCAAACAGAAACAACATTGTTTCACATTCTTTAATAAAATACTAATTAACAGAAACAGGCAATAGGCTATAGAGCTGGCTTCACCGTTTCCCCGCCAAATAGGCCTACAAGGAATCTCAACATTTTTGACAACATTGAGTGTGCGATGGGGTCTGTGCTCTGCGTAGTACCTTCCACAAAAAGTTTTGCTTTACAAAAAGACACGTAAGGGGAGGAATGCGAGAGCCTCTTTGTCCTTAAAGCCATGGAAGGATGAGTCAAAGGCACCCCGGCACCTCTCCTTTCTCCCCTCTCCTCCCCCCAAGTCACATTAGCATAATTCACCTGCGCCTGCCCTTAGTTAGCAGCTTGCCCCTCACACACACCACGACTCAAAGAGACCCGGAGGTCGCAGCGCCCGCCTTACGTCAGAATTAAGGAATTAAGATTCGCCTGACAGCCCCGCCTCGTCACGTTAATGTAGCCATGCCGACGCAGTGGCATTGCGGGGCGTTGAATATGGGGGAGGGTTGGCTACATGACAAAATAGAAGGGACAACGATACTTTATGCAGGGCCTTAATAAAACAAACTAGTCACACTTTGAGGCGTAGATGTGGAAGGCGTTGATGTGGCAGACGTGTGTGTGTATGCGCACATGTACTTACGGCTTTCCATGGCAAGGATGGTGAGGTTGTGGACAGAGTTGACCTCTCGATCCAGGGGTTTGGCTGTGCTTATGACACCACTCAGAGCATCCACGTTGAAGAAACGCTCCAGGTCTGTGTTTCTGTCTATGGAGTACCTGGAGACAGACAGACAGACAGACAGACAGACATAACTTTCTACCTTCAAAACGTGCCAAATGAACAATTTAAGAGTGCTTCTGGATTCAGTCCATTGGCATAGAACATTACTGAGCTGTGTCAACAAGTGCAATTATGTTGTTTTCTTATCCATTTTTAATGCATGATTAAACTATCATGATGTTGAACTATGAATGAGAGGTTTCTGCAACTTTTACATTTTGACGAGAACTGCTCTCAATCAAAGTTTTTAAGATAGAAATGTGAAATTGGACAGCAATACATTAATGCTGAACACAGAACAAACACTATCAATTTCTATACAGCAGCTTATATTTCTGGACAAAATGACAACTTCAATTAGCCTATATCCAAAGGGTATTATTAAATGTAATTTGACTCTTGTGGCTGCATTAGTTCCACAATAATTCTAATTTCAACAGAGGTAGGGCCATATTATTGCAGACGCTGAAAGCCTCCACAGCAGCAAAAAGAGGCAATTTACACCCACAATGGCGGTGTAATTAGATTTTCTGATTAAGATTACTAACAATTCTAACACCCCAAGCATGAATACTACCACACAACATTTTTATTTTCAATTAATGCGTAATGAGAGGGAGTCTCATGAGTGACATGGGGCAGATTGCCTTTCTGAGTGGTTGTGTTGTGTTATAAATGCAATGGAGCTGGTACAGACTGTTGACCCTCCTGGGGGAATGCCCTTCGCTCATTTTAGATGGCATTTCACATTTACAAATGTTGCAGTCCCTCGAACGCACACCATCTGGCTTTAGTGCATGTCACACAGTCACAGAGGGAGTTTAGAACTCTGTCAGTGAGGTGCTATTGAGGCACTAGAATGTGTACAGTACTGCTCTAAAGGTGTTTGGACCTCATGTCAACCTTACGGTGTGGCAACATGTTGAAAGAAATGGGTTATATGGCTTGAATTCGCGACTCTGTTGAATGGGGCAAAGTTATTTTAAGAAAATGGCTGGGACAACAGAGGGATTGCATGTAATGGCATATAATATCTGGAGAGCTGAGTTCTACCTGATGGCACTGTTAGAGGAGTCAGGGTCGTGAGCGGAGACCCTCCCGATGGAGGTGCCCACTCTGGCATCCTCGGAGACCACCATCTTGCTAAGTTGTGTGGAGAATACGGGCGGCTCGTTCACGTCCTCCACCGTAACCTTGACCGACGTCGTGTCGCTGAATGAACCCAGGTGCACGAACGCTGGGTCGATATTCCGATTGGTGGCTTCGATTCGCAGGTTAAAGCTGTTCCTGGTCTCAAAGTCTAATGGCTGAGACAAACCAAGTAAAGAGACAAAAATAATATATACACTACTAGTCAAACATTTGGACACACCTACTAATTCAGCAAAGCTGTCATCAAGGCAAAGGGTGGCTGTTTGAAGAATCTCAAATATATATGCATTTTTTTTAAACACTTTTTTGGTTACTACATGATTCCATATGTGTTATTTCATAGTTTTGATGTCTTCACTATTATTCTACAATGTAGAAAATAGTAAAAATAAAGAAGAACCCTTGAATGAGTAGGTGTGTCCAAACTTTTGACTGGTTCTGTATATAGCTATTTCACATTTCGTTAAAATAAAACGTCACATGAAAGTTGTATAGGTCGGAGCCCAGAAATCGACAGTAACCTTCCAGTCAAGGTGGAGCCCGTCCTAATTGGCTGGATTCTAAGCACACTGCACTGGCCACATTTGCTGTAAATGGTGAGGGCAAAGCCATAAAGATATTTCTATGTGTATCGCTCATGGCAACATGGCCTTGTGCTACACCAGTAGATTGAAGAAATGTAGGCGCTAGAGTCCAACGACCCTATGCAACCTTGCACATAATCAGACTCTCTCTCACAAATACATCTTTCATCCAGACATATTTATATTGACTTACTGTGCAGTGTGAAAGCAAACTATTGATTGTGAGAAAAGGCACACAACACATCACGGTGAAATACATTTCTAAATAAGAGTGTTTAGAAGATATGTTGTCATCTGTTTGGCTTATTGGGCGCACAGTTGTAGCCATTGATGTGACACATGTATTGTCTGTGTTTATTGTCTGTGTGACTTTCCACTCTGTGGCACTCATCTATGACTGGTGACGGCAAAAACAAACAGAATATCAGATTGGACCCTGTGACAAAGCTGGCTTGGGGCCACAGCCTAAAAGGATACATGCATATAAGGATACAGCATGTGTACCTTTTGAAGGATGATGATGCCCTCTTGCGTGTCCTCGTCTGTAGTGATGTTGAACACCCCAGGTCCGTCCTCCATGATCCTATACTCCATCTCTGCATTGGGGCCTATGTCATTGTCCAGAGCCTTGACCCTGGCCACCACGGACGCCACGGGCAAGGACTCCAGCACCATGTACTGATAGTTCTCTGGAGGTGAGACAAGTAGTAGTTAGAGATGAGGTGGTTTCCTTACTCCTTAGCAGCTCAGATTTATGGTGCACTACTGCTGCCTTTGAGATCCCTCTCTCACAATGACTCGTCACACTGCAAACTAATGGTCCAGGATGAGTTTTTTTATCCAAATATATAAGAGGAAATAGTGACATACAGTGGGGGAAAAAAGTATTTAGTCAGCCAACAATTGTGCAAGTTCTCCCACTTAAAAAGATGAGAGAGGCCTGTAATTTTCATCATAGGTACACGGCAACTATGATAGACAAAATGAGATTTTTTTTCTCCAGAAAATCACATTGTAGGATTTTTATGAATTTATTTGCAAATTATGGTGGAAAATAAGTATTTGGTCAATAACAAAAGTTTCTCAATACTTTGTTATATACCCTTTGTTGGCAATGACACAGGTCAAACGTTTTCTGTAAGTCTTCACAAGGTTTTCACACACTGTTGGTGGTATTTTGGCCCATTCCTCCATGCAGATCTCCTCTAGAGCAGTGATGTTTTGGGGCTGTCGCTGGGCAACACAGACTTTCAACTCCCTCCAAAGATTTTCTAAAGGGTTGTGATCTGGAGACTGGCTAGGCCACTCCAGGACCTTGAAATGCTTTTTACGAAGCCACTCCTTCATTGCCCGGGCGGTGTGTTTGGGATCATTGTCATGCTGAAAGACCCAGCCACGTTTCATCTTCAATGCCCTTGCTGATGGAATGAGGTTTTCACTCAAAATCTCACGATACATGGCCCCATTTATTCTTTCCATTACACGGATCAGTCATCCTGGTCCCTTTGCAGAAAAACAGCCCCAAAGCATGATGTTTCCAACCCCATGCTTCACAGTAGGTATGGTGTTCTTTGGATGCAACTCAGCATTCTTTGTCCTCCAAACACGACAAGTTGAGTTTTTACCAAAAAGTTCTATTTTGGTTTCATCTGACCATATGACATTCTCCCAATCCTCTTCTGGATCATCCAAATGCACTCTAGCAAACTTCAGACGGGCCTGGACATGTACTGGCTTAAGCAGGGGGACACGTCTGGCACGGCAGGATTTGAGTCCCTGGCGGCGTAGTGTGTTACTGATGGTACGCTTTGTTACTTTGGTCCCAGCTCTCTGCAGGTCATTCCTAGGTCCCCCCGTGTGGTTCTGGGATTTTTGCTCACCCATCTTGTGATCATTTTGACCCCACGGGGTGAGATCTTGCGTGGAGCCCCAGATCGAGGGAGATTATCAGTGGTCTTGTATGTCTTCCATTTCCTAATAATTGCTCCCACAGTTGATTTCTTCAAACCAAGCTGCTTACCTATTGCAGATTCAGTCTTCCCAGCCTGGTGCAGGTCTACAATTTTGTTTCTGGTGTCCTTTGACAGCTCTTTGGTCTTGGCCATAGTGAAGTTTGGAGTGTGACTGTTTGAGGTTGTGGACAGGTGTCTTTTATACTGATAACAAGTTCAAACAGGTGCCATTAATACAGGTAACGAGTGGAGGACAGAGGAGCCTCTTAAAGAAGAAGTTACAGGTCTGTGAGAGCCAAAATACTTATTTTCCACCATAATTTGCAAATAAATTCATTAAAAATCCTACAATGTGATTTTCTGGAATTTCTTTTCTCATTTTTTCTGTCATAGTTGACGTGTACCTATGATGAAAATTACAGGCCTCTCTCATCTTTTTAAGTGGGAGAACTTGCACAATTGGTGGCTGACTAAATACTTTTTTCCCCCACTGTAAATAATAAAAAATGACTAGTTTTACAATTCAAGACATTTATGGTGGATAGGGCAAATATTTTATTATTGAACCTTAACATTTTTATAACAATGGAGTTGTCTGTATTCATATGAAAATGTATTACATATTCTGACCACTCCACTTTACATGACCAAAGTGAATGGGAGAATCACCGATCCCTGCGGAATATGCTTTGGTGGGATGAAATGTTCACTGGAAGATTCTATTAGACGCAAACTCTTCCATTGTGTTCCCAGTGTCTTTGTCTGCAACTCCCTGACTTAAAGCACTCTCATAAGAAAAAAAGGAGGGAATCATATTCATAATCATAATCTCCCCAATCACCATGACGGAGCTCATTACCAGACCTTTCCGTGTTCCTCACCCCAGTGGTTCCCAACATTGCGCTCCAAATGCTAATCTGCTTGACATTGTTTGCCGCTGTGTAATCTTTGTAATGGCTTTTTAATTCGCTGTGGAAGACCCCAAAAAATTCCTTTCTTCCCCTCCCTACGTACTGTGTACGCCCCAATTTACCCCCTGGTAACCGCCCCTCCTCTCTGTCTTTGTGCCTCCAGCCTTCGCTTCCCTCCTCTCCTCTCCTCCAAGGGCTAGTGCTTCTAGACTCTATCAGCTGTGGTGCTCTTTAATACTCTATTGATTCTGACCCATGACCTTGGGTGGGGGGTGAGGGGGATACAGAGGGGCGGGGGGTGGGGGGGTGGGGCGGTGGTGGGGGTGATGACTTCACACCCAGCCTGGTCCTAAAGCATCTTTCTACCCAGCACACCCTGCAAAACAGCGCTGGGTTAAAACGGCATTGACGACTTGTTGTGCAAACTTGAACCTGTCTCTCCTCTACCCCACCCCCCGGGTTCTAGCAAATTGACTTGACTTCATGGCAGTCCAGCGGTGAGTGTAACAGCCTAGGCAGCGGCGGTCTGTGGGACTATCAGCGGTAAAGCAATTGCCGGGGCCACAGATTATCATGAGAAGCACCTCATGCCTTTGAATCCCAAGGCCTGGCCAGGAACCCATTAGCGGGCCGTGAAATAGGCTGATGACAAAAAAAATGGAGCCTGATTGATCCTGGTATCCACGTTTGCAGAAATCCATCTGCTCTGATGTGGAGTGAGGGGAGAGGGAGAAAGGTTTATACCTCCTAGGGCAAACTGTATTTGAAGCCTTTGACCATTAGTCAGAAAGGGGCTGTGAACCCCCCGACGAACAGCAAAATTACACATACGCTTGAAAGGGGTACAGTGATTTAATGAATCTGCAATATCAAGTATAGCCTACATTTTCACTCAAAACTCCGCTACACGTCTGTCATTGTGAATGAGAGGTATTGTAGAGATGTATGTCCAACCTCCACTACAGTGAGACTGCAATGACAATGAATGGAGGGGTTCAGTGCTTTGTCTGAGGGAAATAGATAGAGGGCATGTTGTCAGATTTAGTGACGTACAAAGCATATAGGACTCAGTCTTACTACGAGAGAAGTGTGGCGGGTTGTCGTTGACGTCAGTGAGAGTGACCGTGACAGAGGTGGTGCCGGAGAGGCCGCCCATCTGGCCCACCATGTCTTTGGCCTGGATGACCAACACGTACTGGTCCTTCACCTCCCGGTCCATGTTGGGCAGTGCCGTCCGGATGACGCCTGGAGAGGAGAGAGATAGAGAGGGAGAGAGAAAGAGAAAGGGATGACAGGAAATAAGAGAAAGGGATGACAAGAGTGGAAGATAAGAGTGAAAAGGGAGAGGGGATGATGGGAGACGAGAGAGAGATAGATTGCAAGGGATGACAAGAGTGGAAAGAGAGGGGGGACATGAGAGGAGATAGAGAGAGGGATGACCAGAGTAGAGAGAAAGAGAGAAAGAAAACACAATAGGAGAGAGAGAGAGAGAGAGAGCGAGAGAGAGAGAGAGGGGGGCGGGGGGGATGACAGGAGCAGAGAAAAAAAGCAAATGTGGTCAGTTTAATGAAATGTACCTGATGACAATGCCTCCAAAGATGCCTAACTCACACTTGAAAATAGTTGTTATGCACTTTATTATCTGAGTTATTGGCACTGCTGATGGTTCCCTTTTGTGAGAAGGAACATGGACTCAAAGTGTCAAACATACCATATAATCTTTCATTTTTTTCCCCAAGAATCCAATCCTAACACTAAAGTGAAAACACTTCTATGGTCAACTTTATACACTATATCTCTGTAGGTGCTGAGTAAAATATTGTCTATAGCAAAGGCCTGTGGCCCTGTGCAGTTGCTTAATGGTAATTGCTTTTGAAAGAATACACCAACTAATGAAATTGAAATCAGCATTTTATCTCCTGACTCTAAAGATGAAAATCGTAATAATCCCACAAAATTACCACAAATCTTTAATGGCAAAAAGTCCTCATCGTTATGAAGCAATTACTGTTGCATTCATGGTTAATGACTTACAGCACAGAATAAAAATTCAAAGGCACTTATTGGGGATTCCTGCTGAACATGGAAGATTACTCATTGAGTAACTAGTTCAGGAAGCCGAGAAACACAGTTTGGATCACGTAGGTTTGCTTGCTCTCTCTAAGGGTTTATTTTCATTGACCAGAATTAAGGAGAACTTTGAGAGATTCTCGAGGGGTATCGATTCTCGAGAGACATTACTGTAACGTAAACTTACGTATTTCTCATGTCTCGAGAGGGGTAAACTTTCTATGAGGGGGGTAAACTTTCATGTTTGATATGCTAACGTTACTAGCTAGCATAGCTAGCATAGCTAGCTAGCTGTGTTATTGTCTTGCAAGCTACATTTAATGTGTGTATGTTTTAGCGGAAAAGTTGTATTTTTATTTTTCAAGCTTACTGGCTACTGTGATACTGATTTTTACAGTAAATTTGGAGCTGCAGAGCAAGAATGTCACATTGCCAGCCACAACGAAAGGTAAGGCAAGAATGTAATGTCAATTGAAAAGTGTATGTACATATTATGTCAATTGAAATCTCGTCGTGCTGCCTCTCCTTAAATGTTTGTCAATAAGAATAGCCCCTGAGTCTCTCTTTTTGAGCTTGATACAGAATTAACTAATCAAATAATCACGGTGATGAAGTCAGCCTGAGTTAAGTTTGGTTTATTGCAATTCTTTAAATCAAGATACATTGCATTTGTCATGTAAGTGTGATACACTGTGACTCTCAGAAAAAATAAGAAAAACTGGGTAGCCTTTTCAACCCCTCTTCAGTTTTCATTCCCGAAATATGAGTTTTTAATTAGACTTTGGTGAATATTAAATAATCAAACTGAGTGGTTATGGGCTGAATCAAACTCCCACTTAATCAAACATTGATATCAATGGGATGTGCGAGAAATTTCTAATTAACAGAAGCATATCTCAGGGGACTTGACCTTAAGAGACCTTAATAAAATAGAGGACCAGAGGATGACAATGTTGAAAAAACGGTAGCTGTGTGTTCTGGACCAAATTTGAACATAACTACTCAAGAACTAGGCAGGCTATTGTAGGACACACATTCTTGCCATGTATGATCCAAACATTGATTTGGTTAAATCGTGCAAATAAATGAGTTTTTGACTTAATGGGAAACTAAACTTTCTCTCTTTTGAAGTGAATGAAAAAAGGGTATTGATTGAGTTATCTCGTCTCAAAGCAAAGAGGCAACTGCCTACAATGAGGGGATGCTAAACTGTGTTGCTCTGTCCCTCCCAAATTCAGGTTAAGTAGAGTAAGTATGTATGCATGGGGTTGAAGACATGTTTTTGTCACGCCCTGACTTATGGGACTCTAGTATGTTGAGTCAGGGTGTGGAGATCTATGTCATTATTTTCTATGTTCCCATTCTAGTTATTGTATTTCCTATGTTTGGGCCGGGTGGATTCCCAATCAGAAGCAGCTGTCGACTTTTCGGGGTTGTCTCTGATTGGGGCATGACTAAGTAGCCTGGTTGCACTCATAGTGCTGGGGATATTGTGCCTGTAGAGGCTTGTGTTGTGTTGTGTTGTGTTGTGTGGTGTTGTTGTGTTGTGTTGTGTTGTGTTGTGTTGTGTTGTGTTGGGGTTGTGTTGTGTGGTGTGTGTTGTGTTGTGGTGTGTTGGGTTATGTTCTGGTGTGTTGTGTTGTGTTGTGTTGTGTTGTGTGGTGTGTGTTGTGTTGTGTGGTGTTGTGTGTGTTGGGTTGTGTTGTGTTGTGTTGTGTTGTGTTGTGTTGTGTTGTGTTGTGTTGTGATTGTGTGGTGTTGGTTGTGTGGTGTTGTGTTGTGTTGTGTGTGTGTGGGTGTGTGTGTTGTGTTGTGTTTAGCCTCAGGACTTCATGTTACGTTGGTTTGTTGTTTTTGTTTATGTGTTTATCTTTGTAATAAACATGTTTGCATTTCACGCTGCGCCTTGGTCTGACCCGTTCTTCAACGAGCGTGACAGAAGATCCCACCAAAAATTGACCAAGCAGCGTGCCCAGGAGCAGACATCCTGGACATGGAAGGAGATCCTGGACATGGGAGGAGATTCAGGCTGGGATGGATCGCCGTCCTTGGGAGGAGACAGTGGAGGCCCGGTTTAGAGAGGAGCAACGGCAACACAGAAGGTGCCGGCTGAGGAGGAAGCCCGAGAGACAGCCCCAATAAAAAAAAATTGGGGGGCTAAAAGTGTGGTCGGGGATAGATGGAGAAGAACCCCGACCACTGCACTCGTGGGGGCTCAGGGAGGAGTCCTCACGGGAGGAGGACTGGGCGTGGAGAGTGAAAGACTGGTACAGTCGGAGATCTCTAACGTCAGCTCCCAGTCCGGTACACCTCGTGCCTGCGTCTCGCACCAAGCTAGTGGTGCGTGTGCCCAGTCCGGCCCGGCCCGTTCCTGTTCCTCGCACCAAGCCAGTGGTGCATGTTCCCAGTCCGGTACGGCCCGTGCCTGCTCCTCGCACCAAGCCAGTGGTGTGTGTCCCCAGTCCGGCCCGTTCCTGCTCTTCGCACCAGATTAGTGGTGCGTGTTCCACTCCGGAGCCAGAGCAGTCCACTCCACCGGTGCCCTGTCCATCTCTGGTCAGCAGTTCCACTCCGGAGCCAGAGCATTCCGCTCCACCGGGATCCAGTCCAGCTCCGGTCAGCTGCTCCACTCCGGAGCTAGAGCAGTCCGCTCCACCGGCGCCCAGTCCAGCTCCGGTCAGCAGCTCCACTTCGGAGCCAGAGCAGTCCGCTCCACTGGTGCATAGTCCAGCTCCGGTCAGCGGCTCCAGTCCGGAGCCAGAGCAGTCCGCTCCACCGGTGCCCAGTCCAGCTCCGGTCAGCGGCTCCAGTCCAGACCCAGACGTCAGCCCCTCTCCAGGTTCGGGGTCTCCCACACCAGGGTCCAGACAGGGCTTGGTACATCGTGGGAGGAAGGAGAGGGGAAGCAGCGCGCTGAGGTCCAGACCAGACCAGGGGCGCAACGGGGAGGCTGAGAGAATGTGGTCATCACGCCCGGAGCCGGATGTCGCTCTTTGTCTCTGATTGGGGATCATACTTAAGTAGCCTGGTTGCAATCATTAGATGTGGGATCTTGTTCCGTGTAGAGGCTTGTGTTGTGTTTAGCCTGAGGACTTCACGTTACGTTGGTTTGTTGTTTTTGTTCGTGTGTTTATCTCTGTAATAAACATGTATGCATTTCACGCTGCGCCTAGGTCTGACCCGTCCTTCAACGAGCGTGACAGTTTTCCTAAAAATCCAGAGATTGAATAGATGGGTCCACTAGCCTCTAATGTAAAGAATATGACATTATTGCTATTGTCTTTGGAAAATGCTTATTTACCTGTATGTGCACCTCTACACCCGATGACCACCCACAAGCATACACACTCATAGCAACATTGTGAACGCAGCCTGAAGACTTGACAAAAACATGCATACATCTCACAAATGAAACCTGGGTTTGCTGAGGAAAAACAGTGTTTTGAGATATTTAGACCAACTGCCTGAATCTTTGTTATGCTTACAAATCAGCGAGTCTGTTATTGGCCCAGTCTAAGTAAATGACTAAATTAGCAACATTTCAACATTTTACGACACTGTCCACCTCTTTATCTGAGGCCTCTGCCATGCTCTCACCAGGACATAACAATGGTCAATAAAGCCAAGTAGTTACAACATGTCACTTTCCATACAGCACAAACTAATGAATAGTGGGTGAAGTTTTCCTACTGGGAGAAAACCACAGCTGCCTCTGTTTCAATGCTTTGGTTCCCAGTTTAAGACGAGGAGTCAGAACATGTCAGCCAAGGAGCTGGTTTATTTTTAACGCCTGATGCCTTCATGTTCATCAAAGCATGTCTATGGAGCTACTGGATGTGTGGATGTGGATCGGATACATCCATCTTCTCCTGTTCCTAGCTGTATCCCCCTTGCCTCCATCCATTCATCCATCCATACATCCATCTATTCATAGATTCATCAGGTTTGCTGCTAGTTTCTCCCACTGTGTAACCTTGTAGCCAATTAAAGAGGATCAACAGCGCCCCAGTGTCAGCTTTTGTGACACCTGTGAACCCTGTTTGCTGACATGCATCAGAGAGCTTGCTTCAAGCCTTCAATCCAAAAGAGGTCCCTCAAAACCAGGCTAGGTACAAAACAAACAAAACTTTCCCTGTTCTCTCAACTCTATCCAGCACTACCACAACAGGGATGGAAAACAATTAAGTTCTAACTTGAAAGAACAAAACAGTCTTAAAGAATTTTGGAGAAGAAGAAGTTGTCTGTTAGAAAAAGTTGGCTAATGGCTACATTCAAACAACAACAACTACAACAACAACAATGGCTTCCCCCAAAAACCTTGAAATGAAGCCCATAAGAAAATATGTGAAGTGTGTGAAGCCGGCAGTAAACCAAGTGAATGATCTCACTAAACAAAGATAGGCTTCACATACAATTGATATACTTATTTAATATCAGCTCTGTGCATTGGTGCCCGAGAGATATAGGCTGTGGTTAATGATGCCATGAATCCTTATTCCGGCGTGTGGGGGTAAAAAAAAAAACGGCAATGTGTTTTCTCCCCCTGCCGCCTGCCGCCCGCCTGGCCAGCAGCACACATATTTCTCACACAGCGACAGTGCTAATCCACACGGCTATGTCGCCAGGCTGTTGTTTGTCTGCTGGGTGCCAGCCCCCCTCGCTCTATATCTCTGTTGCGCTGCACCCGTGTCATTCCTGGGGAGAGGCGATGATTAAAATCCTTCTGTCGCTAACGCGGCATGGCCCCGCATCGGCATCGCACCGTGACTCCCTCAGCCTCCGGTGCTGCCGAAGCAGACGCATCGTAGCCGCCGCGCATTTATCTAGCTGTCTCCCTCTCCCCAGTGCTGAAGGCAGAGGGGTAGGCCACTCTCCCTGCAAAAAGACATGGATCCTTGACATTGGTCTTGGGAAGAGGAAATAAAAGTGTGGGGACTGGAGGGCTTTGCTAGGGTAGGAAACCCTCTGGCCTACCATCCGTGTGGCTATGAAAGGTAATGATTAAGGTGATTGAAACTTAAATAAGAGTGGTGTGATTTCCTCAACCTCTGGGGGTCCACTTCCACCTAATTGATCCATGTAAGATGTAACAGGAAAACAGACCATATACACTGGGAATAGTACAACCTCCAAGCCAGGTTGTTGCCTTTTAGTTTGTCCATGAAAAGCCACCTTACAAACATTCTCTACATCTAACTCTTATCTTTTGAAAGATTCCAATCCAGAGCACAGATACGTATTTGAATAACAATTTATCTCACTCATACTGTGAAAGATACACAGATTGAACTACACTGCTCCAAAAAATAAAGGGAACACTAAAATAACACATCCTAGATCTAAATGAATGAAATAATCTTATTAAATACTTTTTTCTTTACATAGTTGAATGTGCTGACAACCAAAATCACACAAAAATTATCAATGGAAATCAAATTGATCAACCCACGGAGGTCTGGATTTGGAGTCACCCTCAAAATTAAAGTGGAAAACCACACTACAGGCTGATCCAACTTTGATGTAATGTCCTTAAAACAAGTCAAAATGAAGCTCAGTAGTGTGTGTGGCCCCACGTGCCTGTATGACCTCCCTACAATGCCTGGGCATGCTCCTGATGAGGTGGCGGATGGTCTCCTGAGGGATCTCCTCCCAGACCTGGACTAAAGCATCCGCCAACTCCTGGACAGTCTGTGGTGCAACGTGGCGTTGGTGGATGGAGCGAGACATGATGTCCCAGATGTGCTCAATTGGATTCAGGTCTGGGGAACGGGCCGGCCAGTCCATAGCATCAATGCCTTCCTCTTGCAGGAACTGCTGACACACTCCAGCCACATGAGGTCTAGCATTGTCTTGCATTAGGAGGAACCCAGGGCCAACCGCACCAGCATATGGTCTCACAAGGGGTCTGAGGATCTCATCTCGGTACCTAATGGCAGTCAGGCTACCTCTGGCGAGCACATGGAGGGCTGTGCGGCCCCCCAAAGAAATGCCACCCCACACCATGACTGACCCACCGCCAAACCGGTCATGCTGGAGGATGTTGCAGGCAGCAGAACGTTCTCCACGGCGTCTCCAGACTCTGTCACGTCTGTCACGTGCTCAGTGTGAACCTGCTTTCATCTGTGAAGAGCACAGGGCGCCAGTGGCGAATTTGCCAATCTTGGTGTTCTCTGGCAAATGCCAAACGTCCTGCACGGTGTTGGGCTGTAAGCACAACCCCCACCTGTTGACGTCGGGCCCTCATACCACCCTCATGGAGTCTGTTTCGGACCGTTTGAGCAGACACATGCACATTTGTGGCCTGCTGGAGGTCATTTTGCAGGGCTCTGGCAGTGCTCTTCCTGCTCCTCCTTGCACAAAGGCAGAGGTAGCGGTCCTGCTGCTGGGTTGTTGCCTCCTACAGCCTCCTCCACGTCTCCTGATGTACTGGCCTGTCTCCTGGTTGCGCCTCCATGCTCTGGACACTACGCTGACAGACACAGCAAACCTTCTTGCCACAGCTCGCATTGATGTGCCATCCTGGATGATCTGCACTAACTGAGCCACTTGTGTGGGTTGTAGACTCCGTCTCATGCTACCACTAGAGTGAAAGCACTGCCAGCATTCAAAAGTGACCAAAACATCAGCCAGGAAGCATAGGAACTGAGAAGTGGTCTGTGGTCACCCACTGCAAAACCAGTCCTTTATTGGGGGTGTCTTGCTAATTGCCTATAATTTCCACCTGTTGTCTATTCCATTTGCACAACAGCATGTGAAATGTATTGTCAATCAGTGTTGCTTCCTAAGTGGACAGTTTGATTTCACAGAAGTGTGATTGACTTGGAGTTACATTGTGTTGTTTAAGTGTTCCCTTTATTTTTTTGAGCAGTGTACTATCGGCTGAGGTCTCCTGGGCATCATTCTCCACCTTGACTCTACTTGATACTGTAAATGTCCCATCTCTTGGTGGTCTGGATGTGGTATAACATTCAACAATTATGTAACATTTATGTAACCTTACGAGATGACCTTAAGAGGCATGGAGAGGCAGCCTTTAATTACTTTGCCCCCTGCCCCTGGAATAGCCTGCCACTGAACCTGAGGGGGGCCGAAACTGTGGACATATTTAAATAAGATCTTAAAACACATATTTTTAGCTTTGCTTTTCCTAAGGGTGCTTTTTAGTCGTTCAGTTTTTATTGTTATTATTTTGTTTTTTATCCTCTTATGTTTGTTGTGTAGCAAATATTTATGTTTTTTTTTCATAGTTTTTATTCTTTTTTTCCTGTGAAGCACATTGTGTTGCATTCCATGTCTGAAATGTGCTGTATAAATAAAGCTTGATTTGATCTGATTTTGATTTGAAATATGCAAATAAGGCTTTACACTAAGCAGTGTGTTCATTTAAAACTGAAAATGTGGATCCATATAGACACTTGACCAGTGTTAAATGTAACACTCTCAGTGTTGATTTAACACTGGAGAATTTGCAGTGAAGGTATCAGTGAACACTATATCAGCGTGCCTTTAACACTGACCTAGTGTAAAAATGTAATACTAAAGTGTTAAATACAAGGTATCAGTGAACACCATAACAGTTTACCTTTAACATGGAGTTTGTGTAACATTTTAATGCCACTGGTGTTGGAAAGTATCGGTGTTAAAAGGGCAACACTTTGAAAAGTGTAAATTCAACACTTTCTGGTGGTTCTCATATAAACACTTCAAAAGTGTTAAATTGAAAACCCACAGTGTTCAATTTACCAATCAAATTTTGCTGTGCAGGGGTGAGATAAAGGATTTTTGCCAAGGGTATCTCTTTCTGAGTATAATGCCAAAGATAGAGCCAGGTTGTATTGTACATTACCTGGCAGAATGGTGGGAGGCCAGATTTATATCTACCCTGAGCTGTAATGTCCTCCAGTCACTGGAGTGGATAGTACAACAATCTCCCTGAGGTGATGCACAATTCTGTGTGTGTGTGCGTGTGTGCGTGTGCATGTGTGGGTGTCATGATTCGAACAGATTAGAGAACACCCACAGTAGAAAGCTCCCAAAAGGCCATGCCAATATCTTAATCAGAACAGGATTACCGGGTTTCGGAACCATCTCTCAGGCTCGGTATCTGGTATCTTAGCCCTGACATACAATGAACTGAAAGAACAGGTGGGGAGCAGCTAGACTGGCCTTGGCCTTTTCCTTTATTTGAGCATTTTACATTTAATGAAATGATCTCCTTCCTCATGACCGGAGGAGCTGAAAAAGATGATGGTGAAGCTCTAAAAGCTGTCATCGCAGAAGTAGCGCCTACCTCAAATTGAAATGCACGCAGGCCCATCTTAAATATCCCCTTTAAACATCATTAATCCTCGCGCAAACTCCTGGTCTTTCTGCTCTATCCCGTAGTTAGGACACGGAGGTCTGAGGCAAGCAGACATGGCTGGCATCGCTGATGTGCTTGAGTGCCCATCTCTGCCTCTAAGGTGTATGAAACTATGTGAGTGTGTGTGTGTGTGTGTGTGTGTGTGTGTGTGTGCGCGTGTCGGTGTGTGCGTACTTGCATACTTACTTTGTCTGTGTGTGTTTTGCAGGGAGGAGTGCGTTATTAATCCCTGTTAGTCATGGTCCATTTCTACTAATGCCATTCAAAAATGCCTAATGAGTATCATAACAAACAGTAGACAGACTAGACACTCATTCATAGCTACATTTATTCATTGAGTCTTTCATCAGTTAACACTCATAAACACACACACACACACACACACACACACACACACACACACACACAGACACACAGTCCTTAACGCATTGCAGCACACCACATTTAGATTTTCACCTTCAAACTCAAGTGTGCTATTTCCTGAGCTACATTACAAAAGTGAGGTTTAATAGGCCACCCTCACCCACAGCAACGTATGTATTTTGCCCACATTATGCATTACATTTACAGCTTGGAAGTTATTGGAGCTATTCAGGATTAACCACTTTTTTCCCAAGGGCACCTTGAGGATTCAATTTGGGATTAAGACACCCAGTAAAGGGACTTGCTGGACCAAAGTGAGCCAGGATGAAAACCTTCCAAGTCCAGGTCACACGTGACGTTGTCCACCTCCCTGCCCACTACTCCTCAACCACTTAATCGCTGATGGTGCAGTGTTCCTGTGTAGCTAGAGTTTAAGGAGTGCCTTTCAGCTCAAGCACTTTGTCAAAGTCACCCTTTCGCTAAGGCGCAGCCTTTTTCAACAAATGAGCCTAATTAGTAGCTTACAGAGACATAGAAACAGCGTTCCCCTTTGGCCTTTTCGTCACAGGTAGCTGCATTTAAATGGATTCATATTCTTGTCAAACTAGGAATTTGTCCTGTTATTCCATATGGCCTTTCTTAACCTGGCAAGTAAACCCATGTTCTTGTTTCCTGCGCCAGACACAATTTGTTTGATTCAGCTTTGCCATATGTATTCATCCATGTTCTGTCTGCAAATGTAATACAAATTCTGTTCAAATATGCAAAGTTAAGGTGTCCCTCAAAAGACATTTGTGATATCACTACACTGATTGCAAGAGACTGCACCGCCAAGCAATACAGAATGTACAATTTCAAAACTTCTTACATTTACTGATAACAGTATTGACCAGCCTGGTAAACAACTTGGTTTATGAATAGTTCCAAGAAAGAGAAGGCTCCTGTGGAGTTCTCTCACAGAAAACTTCACCACAGAAACATGCAAAAACAGCAAAAACATTCAACATAGTCCGTCTGGCATACAAGTGGGCCTTCGCGCTTCAGCAAACAAAGGAAAGGAGTGGTGCTCAACAACAACGACAAAAACTCTGAGG